CAATTTCGACACTGTTTAACCAACGGAGAAGCAAAAAATTGTCATGTATAAAAAGCTTTGTTGGTGAAAATTTATCTTTATATATAAGAGAATATAAGACATCAAATTTCTAAGTGTTACTATATAGAAAAAAATCGAGTTTTTTGCTAGAATCTACGGAATAGTTTTGATGACTAAGATTGTTCACGATTTCGCAATAGAATAAACACATTTCGAAAAAGTTTAGCATTCGTCGACATGATGACGTTAGTTTCGGTAAGTGGCGTTTAATCCCAACCTGGTGAACCCCGTGTTAGATAAATATAAACGGGTCATCTGATAATACATTCCATGTATTGATAAGTAACGCTAGTCGCCAGAACTTGCTTGACCCTTGACTGAATTCGATTCAATAACCATCGCTCATCGCTCCTGAATCCTGTTTTAAAAATTATTGTTCAAGACACGCATGCAAAAAGTTATCTATAATATTGTTGGCGATGACCATTTTGTATAAGTACTGGATATTCCTATGCTCCGTTCAGAATTTCTAAGATATACTTAAGGAAACAGCTCACAGTCAGTCGTCACGATTCAGTTGAACTCATGCCTCAAACATATCAGAACGTAATCTGACGATATTCTTTTTCTCTCTAAAATTTTCACTTTTCTCTAGATGGATCTCTATTTTCACATCCTACTTTTCATTTTATCTTAAGTATGTATTCCTTTCTTCAAGGAGAATTCAATTGAGTTTCCTACAAAATCTATATTCTGCTGAAGCCGCTTCTTAACTGAAGCGCTATGAACGCTTGGAAACTATACAGAATTTTCTAATATTTATTTCCTAACACAGTATCAAAAGAATTCTGATGGTGCCAAACATTAATAAGACATGATAGCAATCTGCACGACTAAGTAAAAGCTATTAGCGCAATCCCTTTAGGATTAAAAATCTGAAACACGGCGTAGCTGTTCTCAACAGTCATGGAAATCCTGCTTTCTTCGATGAACCCTGGTAGCAGTGACGCAGCCAGAAATTTGGGGGGGGGGGACGCAATAGAAAAAAGGGATTTTTTGACTAGCAAAAACGAATTAGCCTGTACCCCCTCCAGGTATTTCGATCTTTCGGGGGAGGGGGGACCGATCCCCATAACCCCCCCCCCCCCTGGCTGCGTCACTGCCTGGTAGCCATTTCCTCATCGTTTCTCATTTAACTACTAGAGTTGTAATACAGAAACAGCTAATATGCTCTCATCATAAATTAGTGCAATGTATTCATTGATCTTCTATCGAAGATTGGTGAGGCTCAGCGACGCCTCTGGATCCCGTCTGTCACTTATGTACTGATCCTCAACCCTTTCTATCACGGTCTATGATACCCCTGAATCTTGTCTGTAACTGCCTGTGATTGGTCCAAAGCTTGTCTGTGACGGTCTGTGTTGATCCTGAAGGGTGTGTGTAACGGTTTGTGACACATCCAAACCCTGCCTGTAACGGCCTGTGATGGATCCAAAGCTTGTCTGCCATGGTCTGTGATGCCCCCATAGCCTCTATGAAACAGTCTGTGATGGCCAATTAATTAATTGCATATGAATTAATCAAATAATTAAAATGTCTGTAAGAGTCGGAGGGGGGAGCAGTGGGTTCAACGTTTCTACCCCAAACACTTCAACACTTCTTTAGGCTGTGTTTCACGAAAGATTGGGAGCCAGTGACTCAGGCGTGTCGTTTCACTACAGGCTCACAAAATATCCCACTAGAAAACGAACGCTACCCAAGATAAGGTTTTCTTCATAAAAGGTCAGTGTCTACGGAGTTCATTGCACTACTGTAGCTTTATATATTTTGCAATTTTCATTTCAGGTAAACAGTTTGTTTCGTATACTATTATAGATCTGATATACGCCCTAACCGTAGAGAAAAAATCAATATTTCTGTTTTAAGAAAGGAAATAAGCTTGAAGCGATTATTAATTGTTATTTTGTATAGATTTTGTATTGATAATGAGCCTAGAAAAAAGTTGCTATTGTATGTGTACTTCAGTTATCCTGAACTCGATTTTCTCAATGATCACTTTGCCTTAGACCATTCAAAAAGTTGTTCAGTCATGCGTACGAACGCCGCATTAATACAAATATTCTGATTCTTCTCTTTACGAAATGCCCGCATGAAATATTGTGCATCTGCGCAAAATTATTTCCTAGATTTGTTCAAAAAAAAGAATTTTTCAGTTTCTGTCGTTCTTAGACTCTGATCCATCCGATCAGATTGATTCCATAGAAAATTTTTCTATTTAATCTAGTAGCTTCAAACCTTCTTTCAATTAACTTTTGAAAGAAATGACCAGTCGTTCGTCGGTCTCCCATCAGAGCGATACTCACGACAAGCCGCTCGCATGCTTAGATCTACCTCCTAGAAAATAATCTACACTTTTAACAATATAACGAATTCAGTCCCCAATATTTTTATATTGATAAATAGACGCCCTAGGGAATATCTTTGACATATCCGTTCCAGATCCTCGAAAGATACGGTAAGGATACTGCACGGATTCGTTGCTTTTTATGGGTGTGGGTGTGAGTGCAGGTGGTTTGTGGGTATGGGTATGGGTGTGCTTGTGCGTGTGTGTGTGCGTGTGTGTATGGGTATGGGTGTGCGTGTGCGTGTGCGCGTGCGTGTGGGTGCGGGTTCTTACTTCGCCGACACTGAGATATTTACTCTCACACTAGCACTCACACCGATATTCACAACCTGGCCCACACGCACGCACAACGACTCACACCCACCCACACTCACACCGACGCACACTCACCTGCATCAACTCACACTCATCCACACTCACACCCACACCCACGCTTTTTGTGAAATGTGTTCTCTCGACTAGATAAAGTCCTTATTTGAGTTGTGCGACTTCATGGTATCTCGATTTCGTTTACCTAGGAATGCACCAGTACTATCAAGCACTACTTGATATACAGTTAATTCCCTCAGTGAATTTGATGACCAGTGTTTGTATTCCAAAATGCTACAAGTAGCAAAATTGAATGTAATTAATGTACAAATAAATATTATTATATCGAACTCATTCATTATTCTGCTAGTATTATATCTTAGACCACTGCTAATGTCCATTTCAGAGATAGATGACTGTGGGTATTTTTCGAATAACTTTTGATAGGAACAAAATAGAGACCTGCGGTTCTCATCGTTGGAAAGAGCAGATGAGAATGCATCGAACCATATACAGAAAGATTTTTCTAACGACTTTTCAGAAGGCTTTACGTAAAACTTCAAGAAAAATAGCATGCCTCTTATGATTGCGATATTAATTTACTGACTTTCAGGAGTGTGCTAGAACCGCCAAATCAAGAGCTACAAAAAACTATGGAAAGGCTCTATTCCTAACTATTACCAATACAATATTCTAGCCATTGGAGTGCAATTCATCACTCAGTTTTTCAACAAAATAGTCGAAAAATGGAGGTTTTTTGTGATATTTCGATAGAAAAATCACTTTTTAACGTAGGCGAAAAACGCAATTCGTTGAAAATGTTTGACTAAAATCTTCAGGAAAGTCGTTATAAAAATCTTTTTATATATGGTTCGATGCATTTTCATCTGCTCTTTCCAACGGTGAAAACCACAGGTCTCTATCTTGTTCCTATCAAAAGTTATTTGAAAAATACCCACGGCCATCTATCTCTGAAATAGACATTAGTTAATATTGTAAACAAAAAGTAATTCTTGTCCGACTATATCTATGTAATTAACTTTGAGTACTTGGAATTATGTTTTAAATGATATTATCTCTTTTAATAGTAGCGATATAAGCAGAAGATATGTGATGATTAGGGTGAGGGTACAGAGGATAGCCACACCCATATTATACTCTGGCCTCGCACATCTCTATTTACGATATAACATTGATTTTTGTGATATTAAAAGCATATGATTCAAGTTGCTTTTTGTTCATTTTTTCTTTACGGACTGTGAGTACGATTTCGAATAAAAATCCATATAAAAAGGTATTTTGTGCAATTCCTGTAGGTTTAAAATTTGAAACACAATTGATCAGCATATATTATACAATAAGGAATTTTGCAATATATATACTCCATTTCCGGACTTTCAATCTTATGATATATCCATAATGAAAAATGTTATTCATAATATGTTGCAATGAGTTTGGAAATGAGGCCAAAAACAGATATCTTAAATTCAATCTTCTTTTATAATAATCTCATAGAAGGCTTTAATTCCATAGGGAAACTCATAGTAGGCTGACCACCTAAAATAGTCCAATTGAACTAAAATGTTCAGGAATGAGTGATTAAAATTTCAGTCTGATATGTCAAGAAAGAAAAACATTAAAATGGTATATTAATAATACATTGAAGTGGCATTTTTAAAACTACGTAACAGATGACGTAAGCTCGTACCATTTATCGTGCTTAAATTATATAAGAATGTTTATTCAATACTGATGCAAATAAAAATATATATTCCATAAGAGGAAATTTCATTGTAATAAAAATTCAATTTCGTGATTTTTTTTTATTTTCCCAGTAGAAAATCTCCTTAAATCATGTTTGATAAAATATTGATATTTTTCTTCGAATTCCATAAAAACAAACTAAAGTAAATGTGATAAACACCAACTAATTCAAAAACGGCAAAATTTTATCGCTATACATCCTTATGTTTTAATTTTTAATGAATAATTATTGTCGAAAATATCCAACAGCAAAATAATCAAATACAGTATTCTCTATTTTACATCATTATTATTGTAAAAAAAAAAAAGAAAAAAGGAAAATGTCTGTTATGAATTAGTTATATTTATGGAAAAATAGAAAAGCCGTAAGAAAAAAAAAAAAGTCGGAGATAAAGAAAAAAAAAAGGAAGAAGACAACAATGCATATTATTTTTTTTCATTTTTCCAATATGCTCTGAATGAATACACACATGATCACTGTTGAGAAACAAAAAAACAAACAGAAACAAATAATTATTATTCATTAAACAAGTTCAGCTCTTATACATCCATGTGTAACTGTTGTACTATCAACACCATCTTTAAAACTTCTATATGTAACAAGACTATTATTAATACTTGATGGAGAATAATGATGTAATCGTACATTATCATATGGAGAAAATCGTCCTTTCTATAAAAATAAGAATTCATAAAAATAATATTTAATACAAAAATAAAACAAAAAACTACCTTTACCGCAGCATAAGGTGAACAACCTCCTGTTCTAATACTTGTATCCAATGCCAAATAAGAAGATATATCATCTAAATAATATAAAAATACGAAATAAGTAATATTAAATCGTATATTTTAAATAACTATTATTACCTTGTGGCCATAATCGACTATGATTAGGAGTAAGTCGTGTTAATGTTGCTGATGAATATGATGGTACAAATGGTCGTTTAACATCATCTTCTTCATATTTTTGATATGTATTAAATGGATAAGCATTTGTTGTTGATGAATATGGTCGATCAAAAAATAAATTTGATGGTATTGGTTGAAATATATCAACTGTATTAGCTTCAGTTTCATTTGTACCTGTTGTTGATGAATTATCACTTGTTATATTTGATCGTCGACGTTTCATTATAAATAATGATATAAGTATAATATTAATTAATAATATAAATAAACCAAATACAGCAACAATCACAATAACAGTTAAAGAAAATCTTGATGTTTTATTTGTATTTGTAAATGGATAAAATGGTGATGATGGTAAATAACGTGATGTTGAAGCTTTTATTTCATCTGTCCATTCACTTAAATGATAAGAATTATTTGAACGTATACTTATATAATATTCACTAGCTAATTCTAAATTTTTTAAATCAAATAATTGTTCATTATATGATACATCTTCATATGAATAACGATCATTTGATGAAAGACGATAACGAATTTGAAATTTTTGACGTGAACCACCATCAAAACCTGGTATCCAACTAATTAATAATGATGAATGAGATGTATTTGTTATACGAACTTGAGTTGGAACATCAGGTACAGCTGAACAAACAAAAACAAAAAAATCATCAATGTATTTCGAAATAAAATAAAATAATTTACTTAATCCAGTTAATGTTATTTCAGTTGTATCAATTCCTAATGTATTTTCGACTCTACATTGATATATACCATAATCAGATTTAGTAACATTAGAAATATAAAGAACAGCATCAAATAGAAGTTTTGGAGAAAAAGAAGAAGGTGAAATAATTCGTTCATTAAGTACAAATCGATATTTTGATGATGCTAATAATGCTTGATTATCCTGAAAATATAAAAGAATAATTTGTTTAAAAAAATTTCGGATTATAATAAAACCAATGAGTTCTAATTGATACTACATTCATTATGTAGAATCAAATGAATTATAAATATTTTGAAAATAGTTTAGCTTTTCAAATTATTACTACTGACGAGGGAACTACCCCAAGTGGTTCACCGCTTTGGAGCTCATACTTTGGGGATAAGTAGGAGACCCCGACACTAGAATAATCCTAAGAGGATTTGGGCCCATGCACCTGTGGGGCTGAGTTATAACCGTTTTACTCGATTTTTGCCCTAGGACACTGGTTCACCTGCAAAACCAAATCAACGAATTTTGATCTGAAATTTTGTCCACGAAGAGAACTAATGGCCACTAGAATACCCTGAAAGTTTCAGACAAAACGAATGTATCCTTCTTAAGATATTGAATTTTCAAAAACCGACTATTTCTCGAAAAGAATTAGCAGACCCGGAATTTATTGTGGAGTCAATATCTTAAGAAGGATGCATTCGTTTTGTCTGAAACTTTCAGGGTATTCTAGTGGCCATTAGGCCTCTTCGTGGACAAAATTTCAGATCGAAATTCGTTGATTTGGTTTTGCAGGTGAACCAGTGCCCTAGGGCAAAAATCGAGTAAAACGGTTATAACTCAGCCCCAAAGGTGCATGGGCGCAAATCCTCTTAGGGGTATTCTAGTGTCGGGATCTCCTACTTATTCCCAAAGTATGAGCTCAAAAGCGGTGAATCACTTGGGGTAGTTCCCTCGTGAGATATTGTACTTTTACGATAGTTACGGCTTTCGTAGGAAAATTGATTTTCGACTTGAAACTTTGCACAAAAACAGTTCCTATCGAGAATCATTTCTTGTAAATCTTGTTCTTATTCGTATCTTAAAATACAGCTCTGACAAAAGCCTGTATTTTACATGGGTAGATTAGATATTCTTATTTCAGGATAAAAGAAAATTAGTTTTCCTGATAGAGACTATAGTATTCATTTAAGAACTACTGTGTAAATTTGCTGTATCTTCGCAGCAATAATCAAAGGACATGAACTATTTTCAGAATATCCATAGCTTATTAGAATCTACATGATGCATATAATACCAACCTATAAGCGATTTATCCGTTGAAGGACCCTCATCATGAGTAAAATCGCTTTCGCTTAATCATAATATCTTTATAATCCATGCTTAGAAAATGCTACGAACAAAGAAATATTGAATTTAGATTTAGACCTTTATCATTTCGAGATAATTAATCATCTTTTGTTTGGATTTCTTTAACTAACCTTGATCCATGTTACAATTGGTCTAGGTACAGCAGATATATAACAATGAAGTTCAGCTGTAAGTGAACGATCAGAATCAGCTGCTGCTTTATTTCGATTTAAATCACTTCGATCAATTTCTGGTGGATCTAAATATATTCATAATTAAAATTATATGAAAAATAAACATTTTGTTTTTTTGTTTACATTGTACAACTAATGGTATTGTTGCACGACTATTTCCATGTAGATTATCTATTTCACATGCATATTGTCCAGCATCTTCTTTACGTATAGATTTTCCAATTAATGATGCTTCATTTCCTTCAATACGTTTTTCCCATTGAATACCACTATTTATTAAAGATAATTCTTCATTATTTTTAAACCATCGTATATTATTTAAATCAATTGGATTAGCATCAATAGCACATAAAAGTGTTACAGAAGAACCTGGTATTATTGCTTCTGATATTGAATAACCTCGTGTTCGAGTAATAACTGGTCCATCTTTAAAACAAAAAAAAAAAAATCAATTATGTTACTTTAAAAAAGAATAAATACATACAAAGAACATTTAAAGTAAAATTAACTTCAGTATGTCCATAGGTATTTGTCGCTATACATCTATAAATACCTAAATCACTTTTTTGTACACTTGTTAATGATAATTGTCCTTGATTAATAAATATTCTTGATTGATCGGTAAACAATTGTCTACCCGATGGATGATACCATGTATAAGTAATTGGCATTGGATAAGCACTTGCTTCAAGTGTGATATTAAATGGTTGATTTTCTTTAACATCAGCAAATGCATGAAAATCATGAAAATGTGGTTTATCTAAGAAAAAACAACATACGAAAATAAATCATTTATATATATATATAAATAAGAAAACTTACGATTAACATTAAGTACATAAGTAACTTGTTTAGTTAATGGTGTTGTATCAATATCTAATGTTGCTTCACATGTTAATAAATTTCCATGTAAAGAAAGATCAATTCGAGGTAACTAAAAATAGATCAAATAAAAAAATATTTTATTTTGTTAACAGAGAAAACATAAGAGAGGTATTCAGTCCATTTACTAGAGTTATTACTTAAGATAATAAAATGATAGAAAGCTATCGACATAAAAGTCATACGAATAGTACTCTATCAAAAGAAAAAACGGAAATCTAATCAATCAATGTCATAGAAATATGTGTTTAGTAAATCAGGAAATATTTTATATAGAAAATTCAATTTGTTACTTTTCAATAAGAATTACTACAAACAATTAATCTACTCTTATCGTGTAATAAAACTTTGTTGAAAGTTGATTACATAAACAAAATCGTGTATTCCTATGGAACTGATCTACTAGCGACTTTCCGGTTCAATCTGATGTACTAAGATCGACTCAATTTCCGGATATAAAATATTATTGAAATTTGATTTAATTAAAAACTCACCATAAATTTAATTGAATTAATTCCATTAGTATAAATGCTTCGTATATTAGATGCAATATCTGAATGTTTAATTCCATCATTTGATTGTCTAATTATAGTTAATTTTGCTTGAGGATTTGATATTGATGTTCGACATTCAAATTCTCCGAGATTATCTGAACCAACAGATAAATTTGATAAAATTGAACTATTAATTATTCTCATTTCAGCCGGAAGAACTATTAAAAGAAATTATTCTATTTAAAAACAAAAGAATATATTTCAATTAACTTACAAACAACATTTAATGTAAATGAAGCAGTACGTTCAGGAAAATTTGCCACTTGTCCTTTACATATTAATGGAAGATTATTATCAAATGCTGAAGCAATAAATTCTACACGACTTAATGCATATTTTCCTCTTGCTTCACTTATATATTCTGAACGCATTAATTCATTGCCTTAGAATAATAAAAAAAAAAAATGATTTCAAAAAATAAGAAAATATTTTATTTACCTTTAAACCAATTTATTTTTCCTAATGGATTTCCTCCTGTAAGAGTACATTCAGCAATAATTGTATCACCAGCTTTAATTATTTTATCTTTTGTTACACCATGCATTTCAATACTTGTTGCATCATCTACAAAAAAAAAAAAATATCGAAAAATTCTATAGAACAAAAAAAAACGAAATTCATTTAAATTACTAACATATAATATTTAATCTTGTTGAATCAATAACAATATGTCCAGTTTCAGGATTTCTTGCTTCACATGAAAGTATTTTTGTATGATATTCTCTTAATTCTTTATCTAAACCAATTGTTTTAACTAATTGTATTGTTTTACCAGCATGTTCTCCTTGTTCTTCTAATGGATCAATATCACTAACAATAACTTGTCCATCTAATTTCCAAACAACCACTGGTCGTGGATTTGATGATGATGTTCGACATACAAATTGTCGTGTAGTTCCTTCAATTAATGTTGTTACACTTACATTTGTATCAGGTGTATTACCACGTATTTGAACTGATGATGGACCAACTAGAAGAAAACAAAACATGAAATTTTTCAAAAATCGAACACAAAAAAAAAAAGAAAAGTTCTTACAAGCAACTTGTAAAGTAATATTCTTTTGTAAACGTTGTCCTAATGAATAAAGATAAGAATTTGTTACATGACATGATAATGTAACATTATTATCCGATGGTGATATAATCATAGTTATATTATTTTCAGTTATATTTTGTTGATAAAATAAAACAAATGAATTATCAATTAAATTAAATGTTTCACTATTATTTTCTAATCTATACCATGATAATCGACCTAATGGATGACCACCACGTGATTGACATGATAATGTTAAACGTGAACCATTAATTAAATAAAAATTTGATGAATAACCAAGAATAAATGGTATACTTGGTGGTGATGTTACTTCAATATCAAATGAACTAGAAAGTTTATTTGTATCATCATTTAATGTTTCATGACGTACATCACATGTAAAACGATTTTTATGTAATGATATTGATGGAGTAAGTGCAAGAGTACTTATCGTTGAAAAAAGACGACCTATTAAAATAATATATTTAATATTAAATTTTATTTCTTTTTTTTTTCTACATTTTGTGTAAATAATAAGAAAAATCGAAATAATGATTTTGAGTTTCGTAAGAAAAGGATTTCTGGAAAACCAAACAAAAAAAAAAAAAAAACGTGTTTTGTAGGTTCTACAATTCTGTTTGAGTTATCTATAATTATCTAGATAATGAAATGTCTTGCAGCTTGCTACGACATTTTTTCATTAAGACACATCAACTTTACTTCAAGGCACAAAAGTCGATTTTTCTGTCATTTCACATGAAACACATTTTTGTGCCGTCAATAATGTTGATATATCTTGATGAAAAAATATCCTTGAGAGCTGGGAGACGTTTCATTTTGGAGATAATTGTTTGTTCCATTATTCTAGATAATCCAGACGGAATTTTGATTGCAAATTTTAACATTTGGAAAACTAAGGTTTTTGCTTTTTAAGATATTCTTTCCTTTGAAAACTATAGTACTTTGGTCTCAAACTCAGGTTGAAATCTTGATTTTTTTTTTCAATTTTGATAGTTTCTGATCTTTTCCATTTTTTATATGCAATAAAAGATATTTATTATATATTATGGCTATGGTCGTATAGAGGTCACAACGCACTACAATTAACTCTATTTCAAGAAGCAACAGCTATTAAGATATAGAAATAATGACTCATTTTATGCATAAGTGACGCTTATCATACCTTGACTTTTTTATATTACTGTTACGTATTTCTAATATTTACTTATACACAATAGCTATAAATTGCCATATACCAATTTAATTAATTGTTCTTATTCTCATTATTACGAAAGAAATGGGTATTGGATGACAAAAGAGTATTGATTATGGATGATGACAACTATTTCGTGAGATAATTAGAAAAAGAATTACAGATATTCATAAATTCTGGGATAGCTTATTAGCGATCATCTGTTATTACAAAAAAAACTTATATAGGAAATAAAGAGTACAAAGAATTACGAATGAATTGACGGAAAAGAAGAAGATGAGGATATCAATATAGAAGCACACGATAACATTTAATAAAGTTGTTGTTTATATAAAAATACATGTATTTGAAATTTTGAGAAATTTCTGTCACACTTTTTTCTGATATATTTTTTTTTTAGTCTTTTTATAACTGCAGTTCAATAATTTGTTCCTGATATTATACGATTACATAGCTTATGCTGTCCCCTAAACAACATAAAAGTATGCTGATAAAATAATGGAAAATTGTTTCAGAAGAAGTAATCTAACAAAATCTCTCTCAACCTGAATTTATCATTTATAGGAGCAGAAAAAAATTACAAATAAATTTGGTTAAATAGTTTTGTTAAAATTTTTCGATTCATAAATATTCAATTGAAGGAACTGTCATAGATTCATGACATTTCAATAGTCTCGAAGGTCTTCATTGAACAGAGATTTTACTATATAATATAATTCCTATTTTGTCATAAACTATCGAATGAATATCATAATGAAAAAATTGATCATTCCAAAGAAAAAGAAAACTTTTAAAGTCAGCAGCATTCCGCTAAAAAGAGAAAGAATTTTCGTCAAAACAAAATAAATCGAAATTCAGATAGTCCAAGGTCTAATTCTCTGTAGACCTTCATTCTATGCATTTAGTTTTTTTGAATTAACCTTGATTACTATTACATAAAAGCGTACTTTTATAATTAGAACACCATTTTGTTTTCTTCGTTTAAAGATAAATAATTTATTAAAACAATGACTCTGTCATGAGATGCATCCTAACATGTTCAAGTATATAGAATAAGATCAATTTAGTTGAAGAAAAACAAGAATCATTTTTTTTTTTCTTGAAATCAATTTTTACACGTATTGGAAACTACTTCGAGTGAGAAAGCGAGAAGACTTTTAACCTTGACAAGCTAGATCTTTCCTAGAAAGAAATATTTAGGAAATTTAAGTCTATGATGATCTGCTCATCGAGATCTATCTATTCTGAAAGAACGTAAGTTCTTAATCAGGCGTTTGAATACAAATCTCATCTTAATTCGAGATCATAATCAAGAAAATCTAACAAATTCTTTTAATTTTTTCTCAATATAATTATTTATAAAAATTGAACTATAACTATTAACTATAAAGAGCACTCGAAACAACGTTCTATTACATCATCATTGATTGATTCAATACAATAGGGAAAAAATCCTCATAAGTGACTTACTTATAATACATGAAACGAGAGAAGAAAAAGAAAAGCGAGTCAAGTTCTTGTAAATTGTATAGAATTATTACCTTGAGTAAATGTTCTTGTTGTAGCTGGAAATTCTACTCCACTTTCATTAATCCATTTTATTTGTGCAGCAGGTCGTGCACCATCAACTCGACAATTTATTTGATGAATTGGTTCATCATATCTCATACTAACAATAGGTATTTCATTTGATGATGGTCGATCATTGATTTGTACACGTTCTGGTTGAACAAGTGTTCTTATATGAGCTATTTGTTTTAATGCTGATGCATCATTATAAGGTGAAACTTCACATGCATATATGCCTTCATCATCTAATTTTAATGATTCAATAAAAAAATTAAATTCACCACGATTTTCATCGCCTATAATTGACCACGAAGGAAAAGCAGGAAGTTGTCGATCATAACCTAGAGGAAACAAAAACACCAAAAGGTCAATTCATCTTTCATGTCTAACTAATGCTCATTAGTAGACAAAAAAATAGTTACACACTGGGTGATAGTTGTGTTATTTTAAGTAATTCTTGTCGGACAACGATAAAATATGTGTGTCAATCAATGCCTCTATTCTTCGACTATGGATAACGAGAGTTAATTGCTCTTCATGTTCGTCGATAGACTCCACCTACTTTCTAACGAATAAGCATTCATAATCAATATCTAAATACCACCATTATTTTTTAGAGATTTTAAGCTTTTTTCTTTTTGTCTTCTCACATAGGGGTGGGTGGATTATTTGTTCAAATTGAAGGGTACGTGTTGCTTATCATTATCAAATATAAGGCGAAGAGAACGAATCATTCGAACACTTGCCAATGGGTAAAGAAAAAAAAAAAAGAACCGGTAATGGATGTTTATCATATGCATACACTTCACTTGTCTCACACATAGATGACGATGATGGTGATAATGTCAATTAGACAATTGTGCTTAGTGTGCACATATATATTTGAATATAAACTCACCTAAAGCAAGTCCATCTTTAGTCCATTGAACATCACCATGAGGTGGAGCAATAACACATGGAATAGTAACATTAGATCCGATTAAAGCTGATATATCCGCAGGTTTTACTTCATAAAACTGCCCTTGAGTATTGGATAAGTCTAAAGAAAATATTAATGAAATTTATAAATTATTCAATAAAAAAAAAATATATAAATATATTCATTTGTAAAGACTTACATAGTATTGAATAGAATATGAACAATTGAAGAAGTAGGCTTAGTGCCATTTCTGAAATAGATAATCGTATAATGGTCATTGATCGGCTAGACACGCTACAGACAGACAATAATCAAGATGGATCGATCTGTATAAATGAGTCTGTTTCTCTGTCTTGACTCTATAAACACATAATTGCATTCTATTTGATTCGGACTAACCACATACATATATATATATATATATATACACTTGACTAGGCTTCTTTAACATCAACAAGAACATCGGAACATACACAGGTGGAGTGAAACCTTTTCTGAACATTTCACTCAACTTATCCGATCACTCGAAAACAATTTTCCCTCTTTCTCTTACTCATTACATGATGTGATGAGATGTCTAGTAACTAAGTCCTTCATACTTATCGGATTCTAACATATTGTGCTCGAACAAATTTGTTATTGCACAAAGAATACAACATAAGATTGAAAAGAAAATCATTTCCGCAGATAGAATTATCAAGGTGCCAAAAGGGAAGATCCTTGGTACCATCTGAATATATAATTTTTGTCCCAAGAGAACAAAATATTGGGAAAAAGATCTATATGTGCGTGACCATAAACTCACCTGACTTTGTATATATATTCACTGCAGGCTACAATAGCAGCAGCAGCAACAGTTCGATAGAATGTTCTCTATGACGCCGTCGGTCTACTGTACTACGACAGGGAATCATAATCATAACAATAATGTGCATCTCCCCCTCATACAGAATCGACTTCTCTCTCTCTCCGCTTTGTCTCTATCGCTTTTCTCTCTTTTCTTCTTATTGAGTATGTTCAGCATCACCCTCAATGTATATTGAGTGTAGATGGGTCGACCCTCGTCTGTCATATTGACGTAAGAAAAGAATAGTAGAGATTGTATGTGTACGTGCACAACTATAAGTCGAACTGCTTAACTGTTCAATCGTCACTCTTGTTTGAACTCGACCGCCACGACACAAGAGAATTTCATGAACAAATGAATGCTAAGCTCGTTGATGAGCTCGAATCATCTCTATATACTCGTCTTGCAATTAGTTGATTCTTTCACAAATAAAAAAAAAAAAAAGAAAAGAAAGCAAGAGCGAGTGAAAAAAACACAGCAGGTAATGTCTGTTGGGTTCTTAATTCGGTCAATACATGCACAAAAAAAAAGAGGTACTATCCCATATACTAATGAGAAAAGTAACGAGAAGAAAATTGTCTACAACAACAAATGTATTATTACTACAACAACCACTTAACACAACGACGTCATCGTCCAGAGACAAGAGTATCTATTTCATTTTATCAGTTTCTTGTATAAACATATACACACATACATACAATCATTGGACTAAGAAATATGTCGAGACTAGTATCAGCTGCATAGACTCATAACAATCAATAAAAACGATGATACGACTTATATTGTCTTTTTTCTTTCTTTGAACACGTTTCACTCAATCGTGAACGTGAATCTTTAAGCACAGAAGGTGCCATACACACACACACATACCCATACTTGACTATGACGGGAAAACAACAATTAATCTCATCTTAGAAGTCATACAACTAACTATTCTGACACATGATCTCAAACAGTTATACATATAATGAAAAAAAAGAAAGAAAGACAAAAAAAGGAATGTACGATGTACAATAGACGTTATTGTGTGCTATGCACACAAGGACGTTTCCTTCATACGAAAGATACCTTCCAAGATAATGAACTATCTTTATGACAAACTAGACGGACATGAACTCGTTTTTTTTAACATCTTATTCTTACATATTCTTTGCTAAAAATGTCGAGTTAATACATTGGACAATTGCTTCAGGGATCGATCATACATCGGAAGTTACTCTCTCTCTCTCCCTCTCGCTTGTTCTACATCTAGCAAACTAACGTTGAAAAGTTCTGTCTTCGAAGCCTGTCTGTCATCAGTATATAATGCCTTGACCTATTCTTTTTTGATATAACTTACGCAATATGCAGGTTACTTGTAATTAGCTATGAGTGTATGCAACAGCTTCTCTTTTCTCTTTATTTCAAGAAACACGATCGTCATTCTTATCTATTTTCTGTCTATTTGCTTACTCTCAATGTCTATTTCCGCACTTTACATGTACACACTTACCTTCAAGAACTAAACAAGAAAATCTACATACAAGGTCAAGAATCAAACATCGTATTGTTTCATTTTTCTACTTTCGTTTTTCTTTTTCTTTTTTTTTTATTATTTCTAATCAAACCACAACAATTGTCTTCTTCTGTTCTACTACAATCAAATCATTTATCATGACAAAAAAGTGTTTGTTCGTTCTCTCTCTCTCTAATCTAAAGAGAAGAAAAAAGAAGAAGAAGAATGAATGAAGAGAGCGAAATAGAAGAAAAGAAAGTGGCACCTTTCTTTTATTCTTGCACTTTCTCTCTCATGCACTTCCGAATAGTGTTGACAACAGTGATAGTTTGTTTAGATTTGCCTCATTGAACAATATATATATATTCTCAAAGAAAAATTAGACTCTTGGGGGACGCTTTCTCTCAGAAAAAAAAAGACGTGACTTATCAAACGTCAACATCAGACTAGACAGCATGTCTGTTGTGGCTTTCTCATAGTCAAGGCCGTCAATCACACCTACAACTGACAGCGTCAATTGAATATCATCAAATGAAAAGAAAAGGCCGACAATCGTACATATACATATATATAAAGATGAAGCGTTAATCTTAGTTCAGACGCGTGTTCATCGTTGATCTTTGATGTGAAACGCTTGTCTATATTTTACCGTTAAATAAAACATAAGAACAAAAAAAACAAATAAAACAAAACGTCAAATGTTTAATCTCAAAAAATCATTTGATATTTAAATTCATTGATCACATAGAAAAAGTAATCTATACTTTATATGTATGTATATGCATCCTTAAGAGTAAAAAGAAAAACTAAAGAATGTTCAAGTAGTAACAGCAGGTGATGAGCAAGAAAAAGAAATAATTTCACTGTTGGGCGCCAAATCGATAGAGCAATTATATACAATATACATATATATGTTATCTCCAATAATGGATAGAGATGAACAACAATTAAAACCGACAAATGAAATTGTTAAACTTGTACTTAATTCAAATTCATCATTAACTACAAATACTAATCCAATACAAGTTGAAATTCAAATGCCTGTACATTTAGAAAAAGTTTATATGTATGAAGCTGAAACTCAAACATCATATGATGATAATAAAAATAATATTTCAGATTTATTAAGTAAAGAAGCAGGTGATGAAGCTCGTTTAACAGGTTCAAATAAATATGGTTTATTATCATTAGATGAATATCAAATAATGCGTACAGGTGAAGAACATTGTTTAAAAAAATATTTTTCGGATGATGATATTAGTCTAACAGATGAAGAAATTATTGTAGAAAAACAAATGAAAGATATGAATTTAGATGAAGATCGAACAGGTTAGTTATGAAAGAGAACAAAAAAAAAAAAAAGTAATTATTATTCATAAGACTGGAAAGAAAACATCATCTTTTTCTTATATCCGTTGAGATTTCCTCTTTTGTTTTTTTTTTTAATTTCAAAAAAAAATAATCTTTCAGTTCTAATTGAAAATTTAAATAATAATGCATCAACTATTTTACATACATCACATTCTAATTTATCAAATACATTATTAATTGATGATACAACACATTTATCAGCAACATTAGCACAATCAACATCATCACGTATATCTCATAGTCGATATATACAAACTTTTAAAGATGATGTTGATGATGATGATGAAGAACTTGATCAACTTATTGCATCAACATTTACACCTATTATTGAACATGAACAAATTTTATCAACAACAAATAAAATATATTCAAATCAGAAAAATTTATCATCCATACGTTGTTTTGTTCGTCAAGCAATTGATTCATGTCGTCAAAATTTAACATTAGTTGATCAATTACTTGAAAATATTCCATTATCATCATATGAACATATACTTCAACGAAAAGTTCATCGTACAAATTGTATTGTTAATATTCCAAATACAATTAAAGGACTTCAATATTATCCATCAACAAGTGTTCAAACTGAATAATAGAAATTTTAAATCATCATGTGACAATTTTATCTTCTCCGCCTTCTCAATCTAGATGACATGTCCATCATTTTTAGATATATATATATATATGCTTGCTAGCGGTCACGCTATGCGAAAAAAAAAAATTCATTTAGCAAAAAAAAAAAGAAACATAAGATGAACGAGCACTTGAACATTTTTAATCACTAGATTATAATGACAAGTAACCATAAAAGTATTTTTTAAAGATGAGATCAATCAATAGGAGGTAGTAATCATTAACATGTAAGTTGACAATGTCAACCTATTGTTTCTTTTTACTCGATAGAAAAAGTTTTGCATCGCGCTGTCAACGTGTCGCGGCGATCAGGAGGTCATTAAATATATGTATACGTTCATTCGCCGGAAAAAGCCATCAGCATCAGCAGGAGTTGAGTACATTGAAATAAAGAATAAATGAGATGAATGATGACAATGTCATATATATACAATGCATTATTTCGGTAATGGGAGTGACACTTTATTCAATTTTCTATTTGAAGGACAAACATTATTTTAGGTAAAGAATATTCATTTATTTTATATATATATCCAACAGAGTTTGATGATATTAGAAAATGAAGGTTGTTACGTTATATTATTAAATTCCTTTTTTTCTTAGTCATGTAATTTAAAATTATATAACAAAATCAGCTTAACTTTTCATAACTTTATATTCAATTAAGTAGGGATTTTGTTCTTAAGAGGTTTTTCCAACTAGTACGATTATAATCAATAAGCAACAAGATAGATATTAATCAAAAATATAGGTATATTGGCAGCTGCATTCGAATGAATATAGAACATTAACCTTCAGGCATTTTTATTCACATCATTGAATTGATTGTATTTATTGATAAAAAAAAAAACAAAACATGATTGCATGAAAATACAAATAGATATATATTTGAGATTTGATTAAAACAAATTCATGCATATGTTATATTATGATTGGACTCTTTTTGTTTCTCTTATCAAAATGATATGAAATGTATTTTGAATATTAAAAATAGAATTTGATTAATTGTCAAGATTCATTTATTTTACAATTGCTATTCTAACAAAAAAAATAAACAATATAATAATTTTATCATATCTAATTTTCATCAAGTTCATGTCTATTTTTATTAAAAGATATTGATACATTCTTCTATAAATAGTTTTTATTTGTTTTTCTTAACAGTTTTATTGGCTTTTTTTTCATCGTATTTTATATTACAGAAACATAGTAATTATATATTGAAGATTATTACTAGTTTAGAGAATGAGATTGTATTAACTTAATTCAATATAGTTATAGATGCTCTTCAATTTTCTAATTATTATCAATAGTTCTCATCATTTCTTTCTTGACACTTAAAAATGATTTCTTCTTTAAGATCTAGGTTATTTCTTGAGTATAAAGGGTGTCCCGGAAGTTCTGAAACGATTTTAAGAATTCACCGTTCTCGCATTCTACAAAAGCAATTTGCTGAAACTTTGGTAGATTGTTGTACATATGTGGTACTACATAACTGCAAAGTTTCAGGTCTATAGCTTGTACTATGGATGAGAGCCTAGAACAACACTGATATGTACTATTTTTTAAATTTTCCTGGTCATCTTCGGGATGTGCAACATTTTTTTTTATTTCATCTATATCTCGGGCTGGATAGATGATAAAATCTTGAATTTTTTTTAAAAAGATGCGCCGTGAAAAGCTCTACAAAAATTGTAATAACAAATCCCTATTGACTTGTGTTAATGGTCTTTGCCATACTCAAAATGAAAAAGCTACATGATAGTACGACTTCTCACCATAATAAAAAAAGGTTTGGAAGACTTTTTTGTTTTCCAATAGGAATTTGTTTATACAGCTTTTGTNNNAAGGTAGAGCTCCATTTTCGGATCCACTAGAGCGTGGACGAAAACAGAACCTATTTCCGTCTGATTATCTTGGCAATAGGTGAGTTAGCCTTCGTGTTTCTTTATGTTTTATATACCATTTTGTAGCTCGTAAAATTCTCTATCGAATGTTATATAATAGTTGGGGTTTTGTTTGAGTATGATAGGAAAATTTTTTTACGAAAGCGGGAATGGGTCGATTTTCACATAGGAAGCCATAGAAAAAAATGAGTATTTTGCAATAACTCAGGAACGGCTCGGCCAATCATGCTCATCTTCGAAATCGACCGAGATATTGTTAAGACTGAACTGTGTAGAAAATTTCATCGGGATTGAACTTTCCTTTCAAAAGTTATCGTGTAAACGGCCGGATGGACACACTGACCGATTCTAGAATGTACTCACTTTTTGAGTACACTAAAAAGCGCCAGTAATAGATTTAAATGTTGAATTTTCGATAAAAGTATATTTTTTGCTAATACAATGGTCAGTCTGATAATGTAACAATTTCATTCATCTTTTGTTCAACTTTCAATTAATGTGAGTTAAATGATTATTTACTTTCATTAAATTCATGACCACATCCTCTATGTACATAATCTTGATGAAGAACCAACAAACCATTGATATTCGAGTTCTGTCTTGAACATTAGAAATAGATTGTTAGCAATCTTAACACAGCGTTTTATAATTAATAAAATACCTACTAACGTTAGAATAATTGTTTGCTTGAATATTCTAACGTTGGCGATGAAAATAAAACTATGGAGCTGCAAGCTTCATTTTAAACAAAAACCTTTACTAACATTAGAATAATTGTTTGCTTGAATATTCTAACGTTGGAGATGAAAATAAAACTATGGAGCTGCAAGCTTCATTTTAAACAAAAGACTTCTACTAACATTAGAATAATTGTTTGCTTGAATATTCTAACCTTGGCGATGAAAAATAAACTATATAGAGCTGCAATCTTCATTTTAAACAAAAACCTTTACTAACATTAGAATATTATTTTGCTGAAATATCCTAACTTTAGAAAACAAAAATAAACTGTGGACATAGAAAAAAAAATCTGACATATATTTTTAAAGATCTATTTCAGTGATTATGAATCTAATCGGAAAATAATCATATACTCATTTATAAACAATGTCTCTGTCAAAAAAAAATCAATTCAAAATTAAACAAAAATATATTTACAAACACTTATTTATTTTTTAATATGACTTAAACGAAAAAGTACCTGAAATAAGACTGAGCACTTCTGTGTCAAAAAGTAGTTTATGGATGTAATCGAGTGTTCGTATGTGATTTAAGCAAGCCACTGAACCTTAATATGGATGGGATTGTTTGATCGTCCTTGTTGACAAAACAATTTTTGTATGTCTAATATAAAGTAAACGCGTGTGAAAATATTTCTTCCACGCTTGAGAAACGTCGATGTTAAAATAAAATACTAATACTCATAGTGCTCTGTGATTCTACTCAACATATTTGCAAATGTGATTTTCGATGAGAAATTGTTATCCTTCAAATAAAGAGAATATTGTATCGTCAAAAAAAAAAATATCAATTAAATCAATTTTTGTCTTCTGAAAGCAATATAGAAAATATTACATAATTTATTGCTAAATTAAAAAACTATAAATCTTTTAATTCTTCTACGCAAACAATATTTTTCTATATGCTATGATTAAACAAAAGTGAAATAATATCTATACAATTTTTCATTATGCTTACAAGTTTATTCAAGAATATTCACGTACATACACACATCATTTTTAATGAATCAAACCATTGTATACTAATTCAGAAATACAAAAATAGATGTTTACATATCTAACAAATTTAAAAGTAAATAATACTTGAAAATTTTCAAAGGAAATTACATCTTGAAAAAATTTAACAATCCTAATTTCTAATGTCACACAAAAAAACGAAGTGAATTTAAAAAAAAATTTAAGTACACTTTTCTGGCATTATCATCATTGATTCTGGACATGTATCAAACAATTTTGCTCGAATTGAACATTTTAAAGGAAATCGGTGTACACCTAATGGTCTTTCATAATATACGGATTCAACTGAAAATGTTTTAGATATATTTACTGGAGCAATTGATGCATTTACTCGACGCAAATTCTGTGAATACCAAACATCTTCTGGCGTTTTATGATCATATGGAAGAAGTACAAGTAAAGCAAGTATCTTACTACGACTTCTTAATGAAAATCCACCATTACCAACTAAATCAACTTTACCAAATCCAAACCAAGATGGATCCCATGGAGCACCAATATAATCATATTGAAGAAAATCAGTAATTTTATGTGGAGAATTTGAACACATAGCTGAATCGATTTGAAAAAAAAGGATTTTTTCACCGCTAACTTGTTGCCAAAATTTACGATCTGTTAATAATTCATTTGTTCGATTTTTTCCATAAACTTCTTTCATTAAAGTAAGAAATATTTTTCCTGATGCAATTAATGGTGCTAAAGTTGAATTTCTAATAAAACCTTCATTATCTTTTCCATGAAATATTTGAATTGGCCATGTTGATGGAATATTATGATTAACATTATGAACAATCGCAACAATATGATCAGCTGTACGAAATTCAACAAGTACAGCTATATATGGATAGAAATCAAGACTAGAAATGTTCATAGTTAGAATTGTTGTATTTGTAATAATGAGTTTTCGATGATATAGAAATGTAGATGACATTATTATAATAACAAAGATAAAACTTGTTAAAAGCGTAAACCATTTAAATGATTTTGTCAACATATCCTAATTGAGAATTTTAAGCAACTAACTATGTGATGTTTTGTGTATATTGTAAAAACTAAATACTTAAATTGAAACATAATTGCAAATGACGTTGCTTGTAAGTTTCCATATAAAGATGAATGAAGTTTGTTGCCAATCTTTTTTTTGCTCAAATCTAAAATTACTATAGCATAATATACTTTCTTCGTACATGCAATTATAGAAGCATGGTTGCACATAAACTAAAGAATAATTTTTCTTACTTTATTTTTGCTCTGCACTCTCGAGCATTAGTTATGAAAAAGAGCGCAATTTCTCATTCTTTTTTTTCTTTTGTCAGCTAAAAAAAAACCAGGTTAACACACTTCTGATATTGTCCTACATATATTTTTTGAACTTTTAATTTTAGAGAAACACTTTCATCTTTTTAAGATAAAATGAAATAAGAAAGCATTTCTTCACAAAATAACATTAATTGATATTTTCATTATTTACCTATGCCTTTATCAATGATGAGTTTTATTTTTATTGAGTCTCTTCAGATATTTATATTCTTTCATGGCATCTACTTCAGTGCTTGATGATTAATAACTTTTGGTTGAAACACATAGTAAAAAAAATTCATGCATACTCATTATGACAATGTGGAGAAAGAAAGAGAAACATTTTCTTCTATCTTTGTTTCTACGCATTTTTGTATCAATTTTATTGTATTCATTTTCCTGATGATGTCGACAGCTTGAAATAGAATTTGAGTAATTTGATTAGAATCTAAAAATATATTACTTTGTTAGAGTAAATACTGAGCATGTTTCATAACGTTGACAACATCGTTTATTTTTTGTATATCTCTGCCCAAACTATTCCCAAAAATGTTGAATTATTTCCTCAAAAGACGCATCATTGAATTTCTGCTCGATAGCAACTGTAGAAAAAAATGTTTGTATCACAAGTAACAAAACAATGTTCTATCAGATATTGTAGGACTTTGTTCGCGGATTATTTTGGTAAAAAAAACCTTTTGGATTTTAATGCGAAATGATCGTTTTATAGTCAAAATAGTAAATATTGTGAAATAGTTTAAAAGTCGATTTTTTTCTGATAAAAAAATCACAAAATAAGTATAAAAAGTCGATTTGTATATCTCAAACCCGCTATATTTCGGAGAAATGTGATATTATATGTTTTACAGAGAAAAGTTTGTCCTACAAAATCTTATAGTCGGTGTCCAAGTTACGGTCGGATACTATAAACGAAACTCGATAGAATATTGTAGACGATAATGCTATCGAAAACTATGATGTCTTTGTTTTTGGCGAACATAATGTGCAATGTTCTACTGAGATTTGTTCATATTATCTGACCGTAACTCAGAAACCAATTTTAAGTTTTTTTAGAGCAAATTTTTCTCTGTAAAACATACAATGTCATATATCTCTGATGTATAGCCAGTTTGAGATATACAAATCGATTTTTCTATGCTTATTTTGTGTTTTTTATCAGAAAAATTCGAAGCTATTTCACAATATTTACTATTTTAACTATAAGACCATCATTTCTCATTGAAATCAAAAAAAAAATTTTTTTACTAAAATGATCAATGAAAACAGTTCTACATAATCTGATAGAATGCAAAGTTTTTTGAATAATTTATGTTCTTTTGTCATAGATTACACGTTCAAGTATCCTATAACAACAAAATCATTTTTTTAGTTTTTCTATGTTATTTATTAAAAATGTGTAAATATACAGTACTCGATCTTTTACTATACATTCATATAATTAAATTAATTTAAAGTTGTGTATTTGTAAAATACGACTTAAAACGAGAAAATGGCGTGAGACTTCTGATACCAACTATAATTCAATGCCGTATCGGTTTGAAAAAAAACTTTCTATGACTTACCTATACGATAATAAATGTAAAGTGTATACAAAAAGAATTTCTCACAAGAAATCAAAAAGATATTTGTTTTAAATATAGTTGTCGTCGAGAACTTGACAGTGAATCTTTTGAAAAAAAATAAGAACTCTAAACTTCAGGATATGTTTGTGTGAACATATATGTAAAATAACTTATGTTGTCAACATGTTGAGAACAGTAGTACGTCTAATCCGAAAAGCTTTTGCGGTAATTGGAAAGAACGTCAGGCGAAGTTTGATAGAAAGAAAAGCGTACAAATGAATAACATATGTGATAATATAACCGATACTTGCCTTTTCTTTTATTTAAAGAAAAGCAATGCCAAGAGACGAGAGTTGATTCTATTAATAGCAACAAACTTTTATTGATATGACGACAAAAAAAATGTTGTTATAAAGTGTTTTACGGGCTAATACTTGTCGTAAAATAAAGGAAGCATATTTAACATAATGATAGATTTCAACAAATAGAACGAAATGAAAAATACTTCATATAGAAGTAAATTCCATATGAAAATTTCTTTAACATAGACAGAATCAATTGTAATTAATTATAGAATAATCATATCAATTAAATTGATGATTATAATGTTTAAGAAAAAAAAAGAAAATTTAAAGATGTTGTTTTACAAAATATCTCTCGAATAAATTCTCTTATATAATCATCTTCTAAACGTATTCTATTATATAAACGATTATTTCCTATTATGTTGCCGCTGTCGTTTCTGAGTATTCATTACTCAATATTATTTCCGTAGAGTGCTTAGTTTTCTTTCTCATTGTTATAGTTCATTTTACTTTCCGAAGATCAATCAACATTAATTTTAATTATTAATTCTTTTATTTCCATTACACAGATCTGCAGTGTGAATATCGTCCTTAGGTAATCAATTTGATAATTGAATAGGGTAGGTGTTTTTTTTTGTCTTAGAACAATGATAATAATAATTACAAAATCTAACTATGGTCTGAATATGTCTTTTTAGGATTTGAAAATAGAATTTAAAAGGTATCTATTGGTTGTATCTACATGATATAATTTTAATTAAAAAAGAACGACGAAAGTCTGCGAATAAATATTTAATAGAAAATAGTATGACAAAATTTAAAAAAAAGGAAAACGGAGGCGTATACAATTTCCGTACATCTATAAATGTTCCATTAGTAAGAAAAAAAAAAGAATAATTTCACTTTTAGCAGAGTGTCTCATTTTCTTTAATATAATATATTTTCAAGTAACAACGATCTGTCATAGTTTTTATTCTGTCAAACGTCAGACGTGTTCAAGAAAGAAATTACCACGAAATCAATAGAAAAAAAGTCCACTTCAAAAGCATTCAATTTTCTTTTTTTCTTTTATCATTTAAACAAACAGAAATTTCTTTAAAAACAAACACACAATAGTATCAAACCTGAAAATTGAATGAAATTTTAGAAGACCTTTTCAGCTATTCAATTCACTAATTCTGGAGATTTAGTAGTAACACACAATCGATGCATAATAGCAGGAGTCAAGCCTATAAAAAATATTCAAAGAGTTATCAAGTAAAAAGAAGTGTAACTTGCTTACAATTATGATACCGTTAGACGAAACACTTTTCACAGAATGAGTTAAGTGTTAAAATGGCGAGTACGAGTAACATGAAGAATGTTGGGTGGTCCTTATTGTCATTATTCTGCTATCGTTATGAACAGTGCACACTGTATATATATATATGTATATATCAGAGCACTTCTATTTTTTGCCCGTTGTCAAAGAAATATGTCTCATCGTTCTAACAATCGAACACTTCCATTAGTACTCACTATTATAGAACATGTGACACAATAAGACATTTTCTCTTGCTATTCATCATCAGAAAAGTATCTGCTCACAAGAATAAAACGACAGTATATTAAAAAAAGAGAATTGTACAAAGTACTAACAAATACATCGCGTGAAAAATATCAACAATCATCATTGTTAAAATATACGACAAATTTCGCTGACTAAGTCTAGGACAAATCTTAGTAATATTATCATAGGACAATTACTCTCATTAACTAGAGTGATTAGTTGATTTAATAAATATTAGAACTAAGAATTACATCAACGATACTTCTCCATTTGGTTTTATATAGATTGATAGATAAGCAATTCAAAGGATGAACATAGACAAATCTATCAGTAGTGTTGTCTTGTAGAAAGATTTCAGAAGAATATAGAAAATATAATGAATCTTGTACTACCATCTTGAAGATCACATGTCAGCTTTCGTGAAACAGATGATGTATGTATGTCTTTTTCCGAACAATTCTCAGTCAGGAAATGTATGTCTTTATCTTTTAATTAATAAAATTATTCAAGAATTTGTATATGTCATGAAATAGTAGTGAACATAGGTTATAGTTTCGTTGACCTTCCTGCTACATTAAATAATAATATTATGAGAATGACAGCTCTTATTAATTTTTATTTAATGTTTAAATTGTTATGCGATGTATTTAAATATTTCTTTATAGAATTCAATTTCTAATTGATAATATTATTTTAAAAAAATCATGTCTATAAGCTGTGTAAATGTCTATATAATTTCTTGTATCTCTAATTATCTGCTACATAGTACGGCACGAAGGTTCTAGAGATTAAAAGGTGTTAGCGGGATATATTTGACAATGGCTCACAAGAATACTCAAAACTTTTGAAAAATCTTGATATTATTCATTGTTAAAAATTAATGATTTTAATATATCCTCATGCAGGTTATCTTGCATAGAAAAAGTACTATTGGTGTATTTGAAAACGGTGCATATTTTGTAGTATTGGGTGTATTCTTTTTTGCTAACAGTAATTTCGTTGGGAATGATAATTGATTTACTTGACTTCTATAGTTGCTCAAACTTTTTCAATGATTTAATTAACTTATTGACGTAAGAAGTGAAAGTTTGATTTTTTTTTTCTTTGTATATCAAATGAAAAAATCGAATATTATTTGGTTGTCATGTAGAATATTGTCTTTTATAAAAGAAGAATTTAAATTCTATCAGTTTTACTTTTTGTTATGTTTGATGAATATCTTAGAGTATTATATCCATTTCATTTCTGGTTATTATTGTATCTATTTATAAAACAAGAAATAACTTCTGCTGTACCACAAGTAGATATTAAAAATATTAATGATAAAGATATTGATACAAGCGAATTTTCATCAATATCTGCTACAACCTGGATAGAATTAAAAATAAATCTTGGTAAAGATCAATTGAATACTTATCATGCAAGAAATATGAGAGGAAATATTATGAAAGCAACTTTTTTTTTGATTAGTGGTATTTTGAGTTTGCTTTTGGTCGGCGGAATTATAAGTATTATTGCTTATTATGTTAAGAAAAAATAAATGAAATATTCAAAATCAAATAATATTATTAGAATTTACACGAAAGACACAAGAGTAATGAATATTTACATGAGAGGTATCATTTAAATAACATGACTTATTTTTCATGTATAAAAATTTTAATATTTTTTATGGAGATGTTCCAGATGATGAGACTAGGAAAATATAAATCTTATAGTTTGTTTCGTATAATTATTAAAGCTATAAAAGATCATCAACAATTATAAAATTAATAAAAGAATGATTTTTTATTTTAGATAAAATCTACATGATTTACTAAGACAATTGACAGTTAATTCGAGTATGTTTTTTCGCCACTATAGAAGGATGTCGCACTTTTTTTTACGCATTAGAATACCTTTTACATCTATTCAATTAGATTTGTTCTTTAGGATGAATTAACTATCAAAATCACATATAGAAAAGAAAAATATTATATTTTGTCGATGGTCAATGGCACCATGACGCCGGCTATCTCCTTCTTCTTGTTGTCTACTAGATTCACTTTGACAATCGTTTCCTTAAAACTGATAATCGCCTTGTTGTCAATCAATTGAACGACTTTTAAATCTAACACGATCGTTTAGAAAACGATTACCACTATCAAGATGGAAACTATGGAAAAATTATTCTTATGCATTAACAAAAGAAAAAAAACTATACAAGCCGACTGATCAATCTTTGTTCACCTCGAAATCCGACATATACAGAATTTTAATCTAACAATGACTTCAATTTTATGCAATTTGATAAAGAAAATATTTGTGAATTTAGATACATAAACAATTGCTCTCGTTCAAAATAGAGATATGTAGAATAAGTTTTCTTGTATCCTATACTATGACTGAAAACAGTTATCTTACCCTTACCCTGCAGGATAGAGTAGAGTAAGTCTATATATATCTCTAGTTCGAAACCATAATGAAAATGAACAAAATTTATATACTATAGAAATCAAGAAGAATTTTCTTCTGTTATATTCAAACATTTTACTTCGTTGTGTTCTTATACGATGAATCGTAATTTCTTTTTAGCACTTACTCAATGCACAATAATCATTTACTGCTGGTTGTCTACATGGTATATAATGATGACAATGATAATGACTATATAAATTTCTCTTATAGTATTCATACAACAAGTATCAGTAGTATTCTATCGAACACAACATCCATCATCAGTAAACCATCCTGATAGAAGATCTCATAAAATAAATCGTTGTGGATTTTTATCGAAAACAGAACCATAATAATACAAATCTAGAAGAAGAACAGTTAATAAAGACAGCAATCTTAACCATTTTCTGGATACAGTTTGTGAGTGTAAATATCTACTATACGAGACGGAAGCATAACACTTGACATGAAAAAAAAAAGATTGTCATATTTCTTGTCGGAGAAGGTAAAATTGAATGCAGTCGTTTGTCTTTTTTTATTATTCAGTAAAGAACATCGGTCGACATTTATACATCAGTTAATCGAAGTGAGAAAAGAGAAATAAACATTTCATTATATTTACGATAGTAAAAATGATTGGTAACTGTGATGCATTCGTCTAGAATTTTCAATATATATTTGATGCCGTATATGTAATAATACTTACTAGAGGCGTACCATAAGAGAGAATTGCTGTAAGTATTACATATATATATGTGCGTTCTTTTTCTTTTTTTATATACATATACGGTGTTAACTGTGCCGATCTCATTCATTCTTTTTCTTTCTGTTTAGGTACTTTTTTTAGTATCTTGTCTTGGATTCTTTTCTTACTGCTACTTTTTCCTTTCATATTCTCAGTCAAGTATATTTACTAGTTCCTTGGTTATGTATGTTTCCAACTATATTATTTTGCCTCTTGATGTACTCTATCCTTTGATTAACATCTGATATGCAACAATATTTTTCTCTGTTTTGAGGCATGTCTGATATCATTTTGTTTGAAATAAAATCTTCTTAATGCAGCCTCTGCGAAGCTGAAATGTGGAACTCATATATATTCTTTAGTGTCATTAAACTAACACAAAATACGTAAACTGAAAAATCTCTCGTAGACTATAGCTATTTTTCAAGATAATCGATCACTAGAGTAAAGATCTGTTTTATTTATTTCTACATTTTGAAACGTATTTCAATCATTCAAATTTCGAGGAACACTTTCGAATGTTCTAGAATAGTCTAAGTCTTGTCATCAATGCCTTTTGTTTTCTTGTTAACAAATCCTCGGAAAAGAACCTGATGCTTGTTATCCTCGATGGCTAAGGTCTGTAACGAGGAGGGAAAGTCATAAAACTTTGACTTAACATTTACATTTATTGTTTTCTTCGAAAATATATGTGAGGTCCAATAAAACTTATTATTATTTTTTTTATTGACTTCTATACTTAATGAATTGTATGAAACTAAACATATTCATTAAGATCAATAACATGAAAAAATACAAATCAATCTATTGTTGTTTTTCTAGAAATAGAAACTATTGATAGAATTTCAATTTTTGTTGATATATTTAAACAATAAACGAAATAAATAATAATATGAAACTATGGTTAACTGCAATTATTATCATGAAGTTTGGATCAAATATTCTTTTAAATAAAATGCAACTAAAAGTAAAATATATATGAACATTTGTATTTGTCTGCGGATGATGATACTTGGTATGAATAGATGTTGAGATACTATGATTTATTAAATAAAGAAAATTCATATATATATATATTTTACTTTTATTTGGATTTTGTTTAAAAAAAAATGTTTGACTTTAAACTTCATATTTTGAATTTATAATTTAACTACAAATTATACACATAATCAACTTCTTCAATAATTAAATCCTATCATCACTTTTTTTTACAGAATTCACGAATTTGCTCTCGATAACTTGAAAAAAAGAATAACTAAAAGAAATAGATACTAAATTGTGAAAGATATTTATAGTATATTCAATTAATTATGTTTGTTAACATAAATCACAGAAAGAAAAAATAAAAAGTCTAATCAATTGTATAATTAAATCGTTAATAATAATATTAATTTCTAGTTTGAATATTAAACAAATCAATTCATCTAATGTGATTAACGATGAATTAGATCGAAAATTTATTTTTTTCATTGTTTAATGTAAAATAAATTCGTTATAAGAATGGCGCGACGAATCAGCCATCAACACTCCTATTTCTATTGGTGGTTCCCATGTGTCATTTAATACTTCTTACATTACCATATTCAAATCATAAAATCATTATTATTAGTATAATCTTATTCTGTGATGTTTATCATCTTTGTTTTTATCCTGTTCATGGTCAAAATCAAGTAAAAACAAATTTTTTTTCTTTATGTTTTTGCAGGATTAGTTTTTTTTTTTCTTTTGGTTATTTTATTGAAGAATATTTGGCTTACGAATTATACAGAAGACATTCTATTAAAACTCATACCTAAAGATGAAATAATTATTCTCGGTGTACTTGTTGAACCTTTGTAAGTTGTTCTTTGTTTTTAAATAATTAAAATAATTTTATGTATGTTTTAGTTTTTTTATTGATTTAATAGTCAATAAAGAAAATATACCATTTCATCTTAAATCTATAGAAACTATGATTGCATTTAATTCTAAGTATAAAGGTCGTTGGCTTGATGAGATTAGGTTAGTACCTAATCCATTGATTGTTAATACGTCATTTATGATAAATATTATGATTAACGAAGATGAAGGATTTAATGTAAATACACTGATTAAAAATATTTGTTTGCTTGATTTGTCGTTGTTTTTTGTTTTTTTTTTAAGATTTCTTTTAACGAGCAAAATTTTTTTGAATTTGAAAGACGTGAACAATTCGATGTTATAAAACACATACAAGTTTATGGAAATTTGACACTTAAATCAGTTAAAATTATTCATTCAAGTAAAGAAGGTGATTATTGAAATACTGTTTTTCTTTTCTGAATATACAGGGCTTATCAAAATTATAGACCCCCTTTTGTCGTTGAGATTTTTCAATGAAGACGAATAGCTAGATCAAATCTAAATAGTGATTTGGATAGATGT